TCAGGAGAGCCTTTAATGCCTCTGCAGCATGGGATGGGGATCGCAGGGCAGGCTGGGGACTGCAGGGCAGGCTGGGGACTGCAGGGCAGGCTGGGGGCTGCAGGGCAGGCTGGGGACTCCAGGCTGGGGACTGCAGGGCAGGCTGGGGATCACAGGGCAGGCTGGGGACTGCAGGGCAGGCTGCTGCCTCCTCAACACCCCAGCCGTGCCTTCGGGAAGAACTTCAGCGTGGCAGGGACAGCACACACACAGAGACACACACAAACAGACATACACACAGACACAGGCACACACAGAGACACACACACAGACACAGGCACACACAGAGACACACACACAGACACAGACACACACAGAGACACACAGACACAGGCACACACAGACACAGGCACACAGACACACACACAGACACACACACACACTCACACACATACAGACACACACACACACGCACACACACAGGCACACACACAGACACACACACGCACACACACACATGGACACACACACACACACACACACACACACACACACACACACACACACACACACACACACACACACACACACACACACACACACACACACACACACACACACACACACACACACACACACACACACACACACACACACACACACACACACACACACACACACACACACACACACACACACACACTTGCCCAGCAGCGGGGCCGGGCTCAGCAGCCCCGGGCAGGCTCTCACCTCCTGGAGCGCGATCTGCGGGCGGGCTCCCTGCGGGCCGGGTAGCGCAGCCTGCCCTCGCACTCGCGGCTCCGCGACCGCCGCCGCTTCCAGCGGTGCCCCGGCTCTCCGCGCGGCTCCGGGGAGCGCAGCCTCCGGCAGTGATGCATCTGCGGGACACCAGCGCGGGCTCAGGGCGCTGCCCGAGCCCCGGCCGGGCCGGGCCCGGCGGGGCAGGCGCAGCCGGAGCGCGGTGCCCGCGGTGCCACTCATCCTCACCCTCAGCATGGCTTCCTCCCTGTGCTCTGACCGTGGTGGTCAGGGCCATCCTCACCTCCACGGCCATCCTCACCCCCCACACAGCCTTCCTCGGCAGGTCTTCCTCCTCACAGTCTGCCTCACCGTGAGCTTCCTCACCAGAGTCTGCCTTCACCATGGCCAGCCTCTCCCTCATCATGGTCTTCTTCCCTTCTTCATCTGCCTCACTGTGGTCTTCCTCATCACGCCTTATCTCACCACAGGGCCTTCCTCACCGTGGTCATCCTCACCATGATGACCTTCACCAAGATTACCCCCACAGTAACAACCTTCACCGTGGCCTTCCTCCCTGTGGTGACCCTCCCATGGTCTTTGTTGTGGACAGGAGAGAGAGCTCCACACATGTGGTCATTCCCAACCCAATTATTTATTTATTTGTTTACTTATTTATTTCTTCATCGAGCACTCATTGGGGCCAGCAATCAATTAGAAATGCCGATGGACACCTTTATCACCGGGTGGCATTGGCGTGTCCTTGCAGCTCCACTCGGGGTGGGTGGGAGGGGCAGGAGATGGGGTGGAGCTGGGGTGGGAGGGGCAGGAGATGCCACCACCGCGGTGGCCGCAGGGATGCCAGCTGGGCGCTGGTCCAGCTGGCTCCTCCAGAGCCCCGATTCTGGTGCAGGCGGTGGATGGAGCAGACAAAGCTCCTCTTCTCCCTCGGGTGGGCTCAGTGCCCTCCGGAGCCCTTCGGGATGGGTTTGTGCCGACCTCCAGGGATCTCCAGCCCTGCAGATGGCACCTGGACCTCCCCGCTGTGGTGTGTGGTGCCACCTCCCCTCTGCCCAGCTCGGGGACCCCCTTGGCTCACTCTGAGTCCCGGGCCGGGTCAAGGTCCGGGCTGGATGCGGTGCCCGGCTGCGCGTGTCCCTCCAGTGTGGCACCCTGGCCCCACCTGGGCACGGCCCCGCACGGAGCCCAGCCTGGGGCAGCACAGGGCAGGGACACGCTGGTGGCCTTCCCCTCTCCCGACAGGAGCCACCGACCCCAGACACCTCCCGAGGTGGTGGGAATCGGCTCCTGCAGGGGCTGAGCTCGGCGGGTGCAGAGCAGGGGTGAGCCAGGTCACCTCCTGAGCCTGTCACCTCCTGAGCCAGGTCACCTCCAGAGCCTGGTCACCTGAGCTGAGCTGGGCTGGGCTGGGCTGGGCTGAGCTGAGCTGAGCTGAGCTGGGCTGAGCTGAGCAGAGCAGAGCAGAGCAGAGCAGAGCAGCCCGGGGCCGGGAGATCCCTGAACAATCCCCGCCTTACCTGCTCCGGGCATGGCCCGTGCCCGGGAGCCGCCAGCCGCGCTGGCAGCGGGAGAAGCGGGGCTGGAGAGCCGCAGGGGAGGCGAGGGGAGCGGGGCCGGGGCTGGAGAGCCGCAGGGGAGGCGAGGGGAGCGGGGCCGGGGCTGGCATGGGCTGGGCTGGGAGCGGAGCCCGGAGCTCGCCGGCAGCCGGGCCCCAGGGCAGGGCAGCGGTTCTGCTTCCCCGGGGTGAGGATGAGGAAGGCCGAGGGCTCCATGCCCGCCCCGGCACCCGGCCAAGGCGATGCGGGCACGGCTGGCACGGGAGGGGCCGGGAAGGGCTCCCTGCCCTGCCCAACGCTCCGTGGCTGGAGAACACGGCCGGGAGGACATCGAGGCGCTTTGCGCGGGGACAGAGAACGGCTTTGGGAGAGGGGCAAGGGACAGGGGCGGGGACAGCTCCGGCGACACCTGGGACAGGAGATCCCGTCAGGCTTCCAAAAGAATCCAGCCTGGAAGCGCCATCGTTCCAGCCCGGACCTGCTCCAAACTGGGAGATAGGGCCCTGCAAGGACACAGGCCAGGCTCTGGGAATAGCTGGGAATTCTTTATCCCCAGAGCCCTGCAAGGACACAGGCCAGTTCTCTGGGAATTCTTTACCCTCAGGGAGCCAGCCCTCAGGGGGCACAAAGCAGGCGTGGGGGTCACGGTGTGAAGAGGTAGAAGTTTATTGGAATATAAACATTCAGATAACCTGTAAGATAGAAAAAACCCAACAACAACATATACAGACACTTGTTGGAAGGAGACGTTGAGGTATTTATCCACCGCCTAGGCTATCACATTTGTTTTTATTTACTTATTTTATTATTTTTTTTTCTCTTTTAAATAGGTAAGAAAACTAGTTAGCAAGGCTGCTGCAGCTGTTTGGAGAGAACACCTGGCCGCAGTCCCCGGGAAGGAGCAGGCACACCAGCCTCCCTCAGCCACCCTCCTGCCCTCCCCGGGGCAGCAAGCTGGGGCTGCCCGGCCTTTGGCTGGTGTGGGGAGCTGGGGGAGGATGGAGCACTGCCCTCGGGAACGTCCTGCTGGCAGCATCAAACCCTGAGTACGACACGGGCCGGGGCGGCCCCGCTCGCTCCCCCGCTCTGCTGCTGGTTTCCAGCACCCCCACCCAAAGCCTGGCAGCTCAGCAGGAGACCCGCAGCTCAGGCTGCCAGGGCCAAAGCCAGGCTGAGGGAAAGGGTTAACTCTTCACAGTCTGGATGGTCCTTGTCACCCCGGGCTGGGAAAAGGACCGCTTTATTGTCGCAGCTTATTTAACTGAGGTATCTGTTACGCTTCCCCACCTGATTCTTTCCCTGAATTGGATACAAAACAATCTGTTAGTCCCTGGCTAGTTCCAGTCTAGGTTGAGTAAAGCTTATAAACATTAATACTCTAGTAGTGTCCAAGCAGTTCAGTGATTTGAGTGCCTTTCTGTGCAAGAAAACACAACGTTAGCAAGTGAGACAAAGCAGCCCCACCCCGGAGCAGCCTCTGCTCCCCGGGGCCAGGGAGCAGAGCAGAGGGAAAAGCAGAAAGTGCCCCAGTCCCACTCAGAGGAAACAGCCCAACCCCACCCAAGAATAAAATAAAACAACCAAAAGAAAACCCAAAAAAAAAAGGGGGAGAAAAATCATCTGATTGAGTCCCAGAGGCTGGAAAATCCTCTGGGAGTCTGTGAGGATGGAAGGGGTGAGCCCGGCTTCCCCCCCACAGGGAGGGCAGCTGGCACACCCCGAGCAGCACCCCTCCCAGGACACGGGCACCCCCGGGGGCAGGACAGCCCTGGCACAGCACGGGAGCAGCAGGAGGCACAGCCCGGAGCTGGGAGAGCGAGGACAGCGCACAGACCCAAGGGGCAGGGTCACCCTGCCCTGTTTTCCTGCTGTCCCGCCGTGCACATGTCCTGGGATGGGTGGGGAAGCCACTGCTCCTCTGCTCAGCCTTGTCTGAACTCCCTGTCTTTGGTGATCCATTAAAAGCCAACAGAAATAAAAGCAAACACAAAGTCAGCAAACCCACCTATGAAAACCCCCAAGCGATAGGATATGCCAATACTTCCTGAAGAGGTTAAAAAAACCAACCCAACACAAACAAAAGCAACCCAACACGTACATATCTGAGGTATTTTCGTCTGCTCAAAAAACCTGACTCGGGCCTGCAGCACGGGAAGGAGGTCACGGGGCAGGAGGGATGGCAGGGATGGCACCAGGGCAGGGGACGGGGAAAGCCAGGGGGGACAGCACAGGGGGACAGCACCAGGCCACCTGAGCCCTGATCCACAGGGAGCTCCAGCTCTGCTCCAGCAGGGGCTCCCAGGGCCAGGCAGGGCTGGATTCCCTGGGCCAGGCAGGGCTGAGTTCCCTGGGCCAGGCAGGGCTGGGTTCCCTGGGCCGGGCAGGGCTGGATTCCCTGAGCCAGGAAGGGCTGATTCCCAGGGCCAGGCAGGGCTGGGTTCCCTGGGTCAGGCAGGGCTGGATTCCCTGGGCCAGGCAGGGCTGGGTTCCCTGGGTCAGGCAGGGCTGGGTTCCCTGGGCCAGGCAGGGCTGGGTTCCCTGGGCAGGGCTGGGTTCCCTGGGCCAGGCAGGGCTGGATTCCCTGGGCCAGGCAGGGCTGGGTTCCCTGGGCAGGGCTGGGTTCCCTGGGCCAGGCAGGGCTGGATTCCCTGGGCCAGGCAGGGCTGGGTTCCCTGGGCAGGGCTGGGTTCCCTGGGCCAGGCAGGGCTGGGTTCCCTGGGCCAGGCAGGGCTGGGTTCCCTGGGCCAGGCAGGGCTGGGTTCCCTGGGCCAGGCAGGGCTGGGTTCCCTGGCTCTGCTCCTCCCTGGGAGCAGGAGGCCTGCCCTGCTCGGGTACAGTTCAGAGCCCCAGATGCCCACATTCACACCCCACCTGCAGCCCTGCAGAGCTGCCAGAGCTGCTCCAGGGAGCCTGCACCAACCTGAGTGACCCTGCTATGGGGACAGAGCAGGGCACATGGAACCCCAGCAGGCCCAGGCCCTGTGTCACTCCTCAGGGACACTCAGGACTCAAGGGGTGAGGTGGCAGCAGCCAGAACTGAGCAGCTGATGGTGCCAGAACCGTGGAGAGGAGCAGGAGGGACACATGGGGACATGGCAGGAAGGGACACAAGCAGATTGCCATGGGAGGAGAGGGCCAGGCACCCCCCGGCTCTCAGGATTGTCAAAACATGGAGTTGTGGGTGGGAAGAGCCCTGGTGGCCCTGGTTCCAGCAGAACCAGGGCTCCCAACAGAACCAGAGTTCCAGCAGAACCAGGGCTCCGGGAGAACCAGGGCTCCTAACAGAACCAGGACTCCCAGCAGAGCCAGGGCTCCAGCAGAGCCAGGGTTCCAGCAGAACCATGGCTCCCAAGAGAACCAGGGCTCCCAGAGCCAGGGCTCCAGCTGAACCAGGGCCCCCAGCCCAGCCCTGGCCCTTTCCCTGCCCTGGTGACATCCTGGCCAGGAGCTGTGGCCCCAGAGCCATCCCTGATTGAGAAACGCCAGGTGTGCCCCTCCTCCATGGGAGCACCACACACCCTGGGAGGAGGAGGAGGAACCAAAGAGCAAAAGGGAGGAAGGAAAGGGGGGAACAAAGCCAAAAAAAGGCCGCACAAAGAGATGATGAAGGAGAACTCGCTGGCATGGAAAGGTTTCACCACCACCACCATCATCATCATCATCCTGCAGGTGCTGTGCAGCCACGAGAGCAGGTTCCTTGAGGTGAGGTATGTGTGCACGCCTGGGCAGTGCCCGTCACAGGGACCAGCTGGTGGAGGGCTCTGCGCCGGGCGTGCCCCGCGATGAGGTAGGGCTGGGGGAGCAGTGGGAGCTGCTGGAGCTGCTGCTGCTGCTGCTGCTGCACGAGCTCTGCGTGCCCGAGCCGGCCAGGAGCTGCACCACGGGCTTCTGGGCAAACAGCACCCCTGTGGGCACAGAGAGGCACGGGGCTTAGGCTGGCAAAGGGGAGCCCTTCCCAGGGCCAGGATCCCATCCCAGCTCAGGGTGGCTGGTGTGGCTCCTGTGCTCAGCAGGGAAGGGGTGTCTGGAGCTGGAGCCTGCACAGGGATGCTGACCCTAAAGAAAACAGATCCCAAATGGGTTCTGCCTTCAGGGAGCAGCAGCTCCCATTGGGGTTAGGGTCAGGCAGAGCCAGGCTTCCCATTTGGGGTTTGCCCAAGGATGCACGGGTGTGACCTGCAGAAGGGAACTACTCCAGGGGACAATTGCTGCTGGGGAAGCCGAGCAAAGCCCCTCCTCAGGAGAACAGGGACAACTGTCCTTCCTATGAACACTTCCATGGGGATTTCAAACCCCTTCCCTCAGATTTTAAAGCACCAAGGGAAAGGTGCTGCTCCCACCCAGCCAGAAAACAAGAATCACCTCCTGCTGCCATTTGGCAGGGACCACCCCTGTCCCACCCATTCCTGCCCCCCAGGAGGGAATGTCCCCTTTCCCAGGAGGGCTGTCCCTGGGCTGTCCTATTCCCAGGAGGGCTGTCCCGTTCCCAGGAGGGCTGTCCCGTTCCAGGAGGGCTGTCCCGTTGCTGGAGGGCTGTCCCTGGTCTGTCCCGTTCCCAGGAGGGCTGTCCCTGGGCTGTCCTATTCCCAGGAGGGCTGTCCCGTTCCCAGGAGGGCTGTCCCTGGGCTGTCCCTGGTCTGCGTTGCTGGAGGGCTGTCCCTGGTCTGTCCCGTTCCCAGGAGGGCTGTCCCTGGGCTGTCCCGTTCCAGGACTGCTCTCACCCGTGTAGGTGGTGCCGTTGATCTCCACGGACATGTTGATGCTGCCGATGCCGTTCGGGGACAGGTTCAGCGCCGCCGCCGCCGAGTCGGCCTTGTCTTGTCGCAGGGAGGGAGGGAAGGAGGGAGGGAGGCAGGGTCAGAGGGCACCGATCCCACCCCCGGCACTCCCCGGAGTGAGCACAGCCCCCGGTCCCCTCTTCGGGCACTGGGAAGTGCCCACAGAATGCCCACATTCCCGAGGCCAGGCTGGACGGGGCAGATGGGGAAGTGGTGCTCCCCCTGTGCTTGGCTTCCCTTCCAAGCCAAACCACTCCAGGACAGGGCTACAGAGGTGCTGAAAGGCTCGGGTGAGGCTGGCTTTGGGAAATGTCTCCCCGCGGGCCATTCCTGTCCCAGGGAAGGGCTGGGAGCACAGACAAGCCTGGATTTAATTCCCAGCTGGATTTTGCTGTGGCTCGCTGTGCTCGGGCTGCAGCAGCTCCAGCGGCCACTGGAGGGAGGGACAAGCCAGGGACACTCCATGAAAATCAGGATTCTCCCCAGCCTGGGCTGCGTTTGAGGGGAGCTGAACATGGAATTCTTCCAGCTCCACAAGGGTGAGCCTGGATTTTGGGACTGCCCCTCCACGGAGGGCAGCACGGCCAAAAAAACCCTCTAAAATTGAACCTAAATGTTGTTACCAAGCCACGCTGAGCTTATCAAAACCAGCTCTCAGAGCAGCTCCCAAAGCTCCACTTGCTTTTTATGGTGCAGTGGGGAAAAGGAGGGCATGGAAGACAAGACAGCCCCTACAAAGGTGGGAATCTCATCCCTGAACCCTCAGATGTTCCTGTTTGTGGGGACTGCAATGGCTCCCAGTGTTTGGATTTAGTTCAGGGTGAAAGCAAAAGTGAGGTCAGAGGGAATGAACACTCTGGATAAAATTTGTACTCCCTATCACTGGCTCTTGTGGTTTTGATGTGGAATTTGGTTGGATGCAGAGCTGCCAGGAACTGGGAGCACTGACATCACAGGAATCATTGCTAAGATTTGGGATGAATTGTTTAAATCCAGGCTGGGGAAGAAGCCCAGAAACAAGAATATTTTCAAAAAGTAATACAATCTAAAAAAGAAACAACTGCTGCTTTGACCTTTCCCACCCACATTTGTGGCCAAGCACCTCAAACCAGCACTGCTGGAGCCAGAACAGCTCCTCCCTTGCTTCCAAGCCGTGCCAAACTTTACCAGCTTGGAGCTTTGGGAACGTGGCAAACATCACAGAATTCACAGAAACACCAGGTTGGAAGAGACCTTCAAGATCATTGAGTCCAACCCAGCCCCAACACCTCAACTGAACCCTGGCACCCAGTGCCACATCCAGGCTTTGTTAAACACACCCAGGGATGGGGACTGCACCACCTCCCCAGGCAGAACATTCCAGAACTTTATCACTCTTTCTATAAAAAACTTTTTTCTGATATTCAACGTCAATTTCCCTTGGTGCAGCTTGAGGCTGTGTCCTGTGGTTCTGTCAGTGCTGCTGGAGAGAGAGCCCAGCCCCACCTGAGCAGAGGCACCTTTTGGGAGGCTTAGAGAGTGATAAGGTCACCCCTGAGTCTTTTTTTCTGATATTCAACGTCAATTTCCCTTGGTGCAGCTTGAGGCTGTGTCCTGTGGTTCTGTCAGTGCTGCTGGAGAGAGAGCCCAGCCCCACCTGAGCAGAGGCACCTTTTGGGAGGCTTAGAGAGTGATAAGGTCACCCCTGAGTCTCCTTTTCTCCTGAATCCAGGCTGGATTTGGATGAGCAGGAGAATAAAACCCAACAACACCTTACACCTCAACGCCTCTGTGCCATGCCCTGAGGCTGGGCCCCTCAGAGGTGACCCAGCCGTGTGTGTGTGTGACACCCCAGGCTGGCAGCCTCCCGCTGTGCTGCTCCCCGAGGAGCTCAGCCCGCCGTGCCTCACCTTTGCCGTTGATTTTGATCTTCATGGGGATCTGGCGGGCCATGCTGAACAGGTTGCGCTGCAGCGCCTGCTGCACCAGCCGCTGCTCCTCCTCCGTCATGCGCGGCACCTTCTTCTCCGGGGGCTCTCCCGCCTCCAGCCTCTCCCTCAGCTGCTCCAGCGTGGCCGTCCTGGCCGCCACGGTGCCCTGCTGGCCACCCAGCGTCACCGGCACGGCCACGCGGCTCGGCATGGACACCGTCAGGGGCACGCCGTCACCTGGGCGAGGAGGGGTCGCTCAGCCTGGGACACTGCCAGCAGGGGTCACTCAGCCTGGGGACACTGCAGCACCCTGCTCCCACATTCCCAGGCCATGCAGCTCAGCATGGACACCATCAGCAGAGGTCAGTCAGCCAGGGGACACTGCCAGCACCCTGCTCCCACATACGCTGAGCTTATCAAAACCAGCTCTCAGAGCAGCTCCCAAAGCTCCACTTGCTTTTTATGGTGCAGTGGGGAAAAGGAGGGCATGGAAGACAAGACAGCCCCTACAAAGGTGGGAATCTCATCCCTGAACCCTCAGGATGTTCCTGTTTGTAGGGACTGCAATGGCTCCCAGCGTTTGGATTTAGTTCAGGGTGAAAGCAAAAGTGAGGTCAGAGGGAATGAACACTCTGGATAAAATTTGTACTCCCTATCACTGGCTCTTGTGGTTTTGATGTGGAATTTGGTTGGATGCAGAGCTGCCAGGAACTGGGAGCACTGACATCACAGGAATCATTGCTAAGATTTGGGATGAATTGTTTAAATCCAGGCTGGGGAAGAAGCCCAGAAACAAGAATATTTTCAAAAAGTAATACAATCTAAAAAAGAAACAACTGCTGCTTTGACCTTTCCCACCCACATTTGTGGCCAAGCACCTCAAACCAGCACTGCTGGAGCCAGAACAGCTCCTCCCTTGCTTCCAAGCCGTGCCAAACTTTACCAGCTTGGAGCTTTGGGAACGTGGCAAACATCACAGAATTCACAGAAACACCGGGTTGGAAGAGACCTTCAAGATCATTGAGTCCAACCCAGCCCCAACACCTCAACTGAACCCTGGCACCCAGGGCCACATCCAGGCTTTGTTAAACACACCCAGGGATGGGGACTGCACCACCTCCCCAGGCAGAACATTCCAGAACTTTATCACTCTTTCTATAAAAAACTTTTTTCTGATATTCAACCTCAGTTTCCCTTGGTGCAGCTTGAGACTGTGTCCTGTGGTTCTGTCAGTGCTGCCTGGAGAGAGAGCCCAACCCCACCTGAGCAGAGGCACCTTTTGGGGGGTTTAGAGAGTGATAAGGTCACCCCTGAGTCTCCTTTTCTCCTGAATCCAGGCTGGATTTGGATGAGCAGGAGAATAAAACCCAACAACACCTTACACCTCAACGCCTCTGTGCCATGCCCTGAGGCTGGGCCCCTCAGAGGTGACCCAGCCGTGTGTGTGTGTGACACCCCAGGCTGGCAGCCTCCCGCTGTGCTGCTCCCCGAGGAGCTCAGCCCGCCGTGCCTCACCTTTGCCGTTGATTTTGATCTTCATGGGGATCTGGCGGGCCATGCTGAACAGGTTGCGCTGCAGCGCCTGCTGCACCAGCCGCTGCTCCTCCTCCGTCATGCGCGGCACCTTCTTCTCCGGGGGCTCTCCCGCCTCCAGCCTCTCCCTCAGCTGCTCCAGCGTGGCCGTCCTGGCCGCCACGGTGCCCTGCTGGCCACCCAGCGTCACCGGCACGGCCACGCGGCTCGGCATGGACACCGTCAGGGGCACGCCGTCACCTGGGCGAGGAGGGGTCGCTCAGCCTGGGACACTGCAGCACCCTGCTCCCACACTCCCAGGACATGTGGCCCAGCATGGACATGGTCAGGAGGGGTCACTCAGCCTGGGGACACTGCCAGCACCCTGCTCCCACACTCCCAGGCCATGCAGTTGGCCATGGACATGGTCAGGAGGGGTCGCTCAGCCTGGGACACTGCCAGTGCCCTGCTCCCACACTCCCAGGCCATGCCGTTGGGCATGGACATGGTGAGGAGGGGTCGCTCAGCCTGGGACACTGCCAGTGCGCTGCTCCCACACTCCCAGGACATGCAGTTGGACATGGACATGGTGAGGAGGGGTCGCTCAGCCTGGGACACTGCCAGTGCCCTGCTCCCACACTCCCAGGACATGCAGTTGGACATGGACATGGTGAGGAGGGGTCACTCAGCCTGGGACACTGCCAGCAGGGGTCACTCAGCCTGGGGACACTGCAGCACCCTGCTCCCACATTCCCAGGCCATGCAGCTCAGCATGGACACCATCAGCAGAGGTCAGTCAGCCAGGGGACACTGCCAGCACCCTGCTCCCACATGCAGCTCAGCATGGACACGATCAGCAGAGTTCAGTCAGCCAGGGGACACTGCCAGCCCCCTGCTCCCACATGCAGCTCAGCATGGACACGATCAGCAGAGTTCAGTCAGCCAGGGGACACTGCCAGCACCCTGCTCCCACATGCAGCTCAGCATGGACACCACCAGGAGGGGTCACTCAGCCTGGGGACACTGCAGCACCCTGCTCCCACATTCCCAGGCCATGTGGCTCAGTATGGGGACAGTCAGGAGGGGTCACTCAGCCAGGGGACACTGCCAACACCACAGCCCCACGCTCCCACCACGCCATGGACGCGCTGACCTTTCCTGAGGGCCGGTGACACGCGGGGGTTGCTGGTGGCGCTGCCTGGTGCCACGCCGATGATGGGGAAGCGGATTTTGGGGGGGGACAGCAGGGAAGGAGGCCCCGGCGGGGACGGGGAGTAGCTGAACAGCGAGGAGCTGTAGCTGGGCCGCCGGCCCTCGCGCCGGTTGCCGTCGATGGCGGCCTGCAGCTCGGCCGGGGAGCTCAGAGACTTCTTCTCGCACTCGTAGGCGTAGAGGTACTTCATGTACCTGGGAGAGGGACACAGAGAGGTAATTCAGGTGGCATGGGGCTCATCCCGAGGTGCTCAGCAGGTTTGGGGTGTTGGGAAGCATGGCTTGGTCTGGATGTGCTCAGTGTTTGTAGGGAAATGTGCCATTACATATTGCTGATCACACGAGGGGGAAGAGTCAGCTGGAACTCCTTCACAACTGGAATAACCTCAAAGGATCACCCAGAATTCCCTCACAACTGAAATATCAGCTGTAAATCACACAGAACTCCCTCTCAACTGGAATATCCTCAAAGGATCACCCGGAATTCCCTCACAACTGAAATATCAGCGATAAATCACCCACAAGTCCCTCACAAATGAATTATCCTCAAAGAATCATCCAGAATTCCCTCACAACTGAATAATGATCTGTAAGTCACCCAGAATTCCCTCACAAATGAAATATCCTCAGCAATTCATCCAGAATCCCCTCACAACTGAAATATCCTCTATAAATCATCTAGAACTCCTTTACAACTGAAATACTTCCTATAAATCACCCAGAATTCCCTCATAGCTGAAATATCATCTATAGATCACCCAGAATTCCCTCCCAAATGAAATATTATCTATAAACCATCCAGAATTCTCTGACAAATGAAATATCCTCTATAAATCACCCAGAATTGCCTCACAAATGAATATTGTCTATAAATCACCTCAAATTCCCTCAGAAGGGAAATATCCTAAAATAATTATCCAGAACTCCCTCACAACTGAAATATCCTGAAAGGATCACCCAGAATCCCCTCATGGTTGAAATATCCTCTACAAACCATCCAGAAATCCCTCAAAACTGAAATACCCTCTATAAATCACCCAGAATTCCCTCACAAATGAAATATCAGCTACAAATCACACAGAATTCCCTCTCAACTGAAATATCCTCAAAGGATCATTCAGAATTCCCTCACAACTCAAATATCATCTATAAATTAACCAGAATTCCCTCACAACTGAAATATCCTCTATAAACCAACCAGAATTCCCTCACAACTGAAATATTATCTAGAAATCATCCAGAATACACTCACAACTGAAATATCCTCAATAAATAATTCAAAATTCCCTCACAATTGAAATATCATCCATAAAAAATTCAAAATTCCCTCACAACTCAAATATATATCTATAAACCAACCAGAATTCCCTCACAATTGAAATATCCTCAATAAATCATTCAGAATTCCCTCAAAACTGGAATATTCTCTATATAGCATCCAGAATTCCCTCATGACTGAGAAAAGAGGCAAAAAGGCTGGGGCTGGAGGGAGGTGAGGGTGAGAATTCCCTATAGGAGTTCCTTATTCTGAGGCATCATTTCCCTCTTCAGAATTCCTTCAAAACTGGAATATTCTCTATAAATCATCCAGAATTCCTTCAAAACTGGAATATTCTCTATAAATCATCCAGAATTCCCTCACAATTGAAATATCCTCAATAAATCATTCAGAATTCCCTCAAAACTGGAATATTCTCTATATATCATCCAGAATTCCCTCACGACTGAGAAAAGAGGCAAAAAGGCTGGGGCTGGAGGGAGGTGAGGGTGAGAATTCCCTATAGGAGTTCCTTATTCTGAGGCATCATTTCCCTCTTTAGAGGCTTTACCTTGGCCAGTCTCTATTCTAAATATTTACTAAAAATACTACTAATTATATTGTATAATATTAATTATAATAAATAATAGTAATAATACATATTATATTACATTACATTATATTACATTATATATTATATTATCTTATCTTATCTTATATTATATTACATTATATTATATTATATTACATTATATTTATATTTATAATGTAATGTAATGCAATATAATATAATATAATGTAATATAATATAATATAATAACAATTACATTATATTTATATTTATAATGTAATGTAATGCAATATAATATAATATAATATAATATAATATAATATAATATAATATAATATAATATAATATAAATTATCTATAATATATATAACATATATAATAATATAATATAATTATATATATAATGTAATATAATATAAGATAATATAATATAATAATATATTATAAATATACAAAAATATATTTATAAAAAGATCTGTTTCTCTTTCTGTAAATACACATATTTACAAGCTAGCCCCACGTGCCCTGCTAGCACGGAACCACTCTGTGTTCCCGCGAGCACTCACTGCGTGCGCAGCGTGAAGGCGGCGCTGGTGATGGAGGTGGGCAGGTTGAGGCCCTTGGTGATCTCCCTCCAGATCTTCTTGTTGATGATCTCCACCAGGCCGCCCTTGTCGGTCACCAGCTTGTAGAGCAGGTACAGGTCCAGGATCTGCTTGGCCATGATGGGGATCCTGTTGATGGGCGTGCCTGCGGGAAGGGCACGGAGAGCTGGGCACGCGCCGTCCCGGGCACGCGTGGTCATGGGCACGCGTGGTCATGGGCACGCGTGGTCATGGGCACACGTGGTCATGGGCATGCGCCATCCCGGGCACGCGCCGTCCCGGGCACGCGTGGTCATGGGCACGCATGGTCATGTCCCAGGATGGGGAAGAGAGGATCCTTACCACACATTCACCAGAACGCTGATATGTTATGTTACGATGTTATATGTTATGTTATATGCTATGTTATATGACACGTTACATGACATGTTGATGTTATGATGTTATATGTTATATGATATGTTATATGCTATGTTATATGACACGTTACATGACATGTTACATGACATATTATATGTTATATGCTATGTTACATGCTATGTTACGTGATATGTTACGTGATATGTTACGTGATATGTTACGTGATACGTTATGTGATACGTTATGTGATATGTTACATGATATGTTATATGATACATCATATGATATGTTATATATTATATGATACGTTATGATACGTTACATGATATGTTACATGACACATTATGTGATATGTTATATACATATTGTATGTTATATGCTATGTTATATGCTATGTTACATGATATGTTACATGATACGTTATGTGATACGTTACACAAAATGTTACATGATATGTTACATGATACATCATATGATATGTTATATATTATATGATACGTTATGATACGTTACATGATATGTTACATGACACATTATGTGATATGTTATATGATACATTATATGATATGTTATATATTATATGATACGTTACATGATACGTTACATGATACGTTACATGACACATTATATGATATGTTATATGATACATTATATGATATGTTATATGGTATATGATATGTTATATGGTGTTGTATGATGTGTGATGTTGTGTGATGTTGCATGATGTTATAGCACGTTATATGATGTTATAGCATATAATGTTATATCATGTTATAGCATGTTATGTTATAGTAAGTTACATGATGTTATATTAATTATATTAATTATGTTATAACATGTTATGTTATAACAATATATGATATGTTATATGGTGTTGCATGATGTGTGACGTTGTATGATGCTATAGCATGTTATATGATGTAGCATATCATGTTATAGCATGTTATGTTATAGTATATATTACATCATGTTATATCACATTATAGCATGTTATGTGATGTTATAGCATGTTATATGTTACATGATGTTATAGCATGTTATATCACGTTATATGATGCTATAGCATGTTATATGGTGTTGTATGATGTGTGATGTTGCGTGATGTTATAGCACGTTATATGATGTTATAGCATGTTATATAATGTTATAGCATATGTTACATGATGTTATATCATGTCATAGCATGTTATGTTGTTATATGATGTTACATGATGTTATATCACGTTATTTGATGTTATAGCATGTTATATGGTGTTGTATGATGTGTGATGTTGCGTGATGTTATAGCACGTTATATGATGTTATAGCATATAATGTTATATGATGTTATAGCATGTTATGTTATAGTAAGTTACATGATGTTATATTAATTATATTAATTATGTTGCATAGCATGTTATACGATGTTATAGCATGTAATGTCATATCATGTTATAGCATGCTATAGTATATGACGTTACATCACGTTATATCACATTATAGCATGTTATATAATGTTATAGCATATGTTACATGATGTTATATCATGTCATAGCATGTTATGTTGTTATATGATGTTACATGATGTTATATCACGTTATTTGATGTTATAGCATGTTATATGGTGTTGTATGATGTGTGATGTTGCGTGATGTTATAGCACGTTATATGATGTTATAGCATATAATGTTATATGATGTTATAGCATGTTATGTTATAGTAAGTTACATGATGTTATATTAATTATATTAATTATTTTATAACATGTTATGTTATAACAGGTTATGTTATAACAGGTTATATTATGTTATAGCATGTTATAGCACGTTATGTTTAGTATGTTATATGTTACATGAAGTTATAGCATGTTATATCACATTATAGCACGTTATAGCACATTATGTTTAGTATGTTATATGTTACATGAAGTTATAGCATGTTATATCACATTATAGCATGTTATATAATGTTATATCAGGTTATAGCATGTTATATATATATAAAAAGAATGGAGAAAGGTCACATCAGAAGGCGAGGAAAGGAATAACACAATAAAATCTCCTGCCTGCTCAGAGCCTGGACACGGCCGGGCCACGCCTGGCCACCAACCCAAATCAATGTGTGAGACAGTCCCAGAGGCACTGCTGCTGACCACCGCCAGAGCACACTGCACGGCCACCAGCCAGTCACTGTCTGCACCTCTGTTCTGCTCAGGAGAAAGTCCTGCCAAAGGGATTGTCAGAAAATATCAGCCACACGATCCAGCTCTCTCTGCCCTGTGGTATTTTTGGGGTCCCCCAATGAGAGAGCAATGAATTAAGGAGTCTGACTCCATGTTCTTAGAAGGCTAATTTATTATTTAATGAGCTATAAAATATTAAAGAATGCTATACTAAACTATACTAAAGAATACAGAAGGCATACAGACAGAAAGCTGGGAAGACACTACTCAAAATCTCGTGACTCTGTCCTCCAGGGTCTGACACAGCTCAATGCTCAGAATTGCCAAAAAGTAAAAACAATTCACTGCAACACCTGCTGGTAAATAATGCCAAACACACCCCACAGCAGCGAAACACAGGAGAGGCAAATCAGGTAATTATTGTTCTCATTTTAATCCGAGGCTTCTCAGCTTCCCAGGAGTCACGTTATATCACATTATAGCATGTTATATAATGTTATAGCATATGTTACATGATGTTATATCATGTCATAGCATGTTATGTTGTTATATGATGTTACATGATGTTATATCACGTTATTTGATGTTATAGCATGTTATATGGTGTTGTATGATGTGTGATGTTGCGTGATGTTATAGCACGTTATATGATGTTATAGCATATAATGTTATATGATGTTATAGCATGTTATGTTATAGTAAGTTACATGATGTTATATTAATTATATTAATTATGTTATAACATGTTATGTTATAACAGGTTATGTTATAACAGGTTATATTATGTTATAGCACGTTATGTTTAGTATGTTATATGTTACATGAAGTTATAGCATGTTATATAATTTTATATCATGTTATAGCATGTTATATCACGTTATAGCATGTTATATCACGTTATATCACATTATAGCATGTTATATCACATTATAGCACGTTATGTTTAGTATGTTATATGTTACATGAAGTTATAGCATGTTATATCACATTATAGCATGTTATATTTAATGGCTATAAAATATTAAAGAATGCTATACTAAACTATACTAAAGAAACAGAAGGCATACAGACAGAAAGCTGGGAAGACACTACTCAAAATCTCGTGACTCTGTCCTCCAGGGTCTGACACAGCTCAATGCTCAGAATTGCCAAAAAGTAAAAACAATTCACTGCAACACCTGCTGGTAAATAATGCCAAACACACCCCACAGCAGCGAAACACAGGAGAGGCAAATCAGGTAATTATTGTTCTCATTTTAATCCGAGGCTTCTCAGCTTCCCAGGAGAGAGATCCTGGGCAAGATTTTTCCAGAAAATGTGACAGTGACACTGCCCTAGCAGGAAATTCAGGGAATTTGCAGCCTGGCTCGAGGTGTTTCCATGGAAAACCCTTTCCTGTGGGTAAAGGGAATTAGCAGAGCAATAAAAACCTGGACTAGAAAGAGGGGAAGTTGGGACTATTGAATGGGTTTTATGAGCTCAGGGTTGAAATCCTTGGATAAAAATGCTCCCTTCATTGCCCAGGGTGCGCTGCTTGCCTGGGAACAGCAGAACCAGGGCAACCAGCACTGGAGAACATCTCTCCCCCATGGAATTCCATCCTCCCTTTTTGCTGAACACTTGGAACGACCTGGAGAGGTAAATAAAGGCTGCTCCTTCCAGCCTCCCACTCCTTTTCCCTCCCAAACAATTCCCTGACGAGGCCACAGCAGCTCTGGGCATCCCAAACCCAGGTCCTGCTCCATCCTTCCTGCTTGGTTCTGTGTATTTTGGGTTAATGTGGAAAAAAATCTGATTTTTAACCTCCCCCTCTGGCAGCTCCTGGAAGTGCCAACGCCCAAACGAAGGAGATTCAGGCACGGAGAGGAAGGAGGAATAATAAAAAGCTGAAGTGGCAGAGCTTTGATTTGGCCTGGGAAGCTCTGTCCTGGATGAAAGGGCCCCCAGCCCATCCTGTCCCCACAATGGCAGCCCCAGCCTGGCAGGAAGGCTGGGAGGGGACAGCTGTGGAATCCCCCGTCCCCAGGGGAGGCTGGTGCCACTGCTGGCAGCCCTCATCCCCCATTTATGGCCCTATAAATGGCTTTATTCCGTGCCATCAAAGGGGCCCTGCAGCTGTCCTTGGCGGACATCCAAGGGGGATTTTTTTCCCCCCTGTGTTTTCTTTGGGAATCCCATTAGGCATGATTGGCTCGTGGTGCCAGTTCCCACAGGTTAATGAGATGCTGGATAAAGGAGCCCATTTTTGCAGCTCTAAAGGGCTGAAAACCCCACAGATTCAAAGTGTTCCCATTTCCATCAATCCCAGCCTCTCCCCCTGTCCCAGCAGAACCCACATCCCCTTCCCAAATTTCAGGGGCACAGACCCTGAAGGAGCACAGAGGGAATTCCAAACCCTCCAAACTCTCTGTGGCTCCATCCCTCCCTCCCAAAAATCCTCAGTTTCCTGGGGGTTTTTTTTGGTTTTTTTTTGTTTGTTTTTTTGTGGGGGGTTTTTTTGTTGGGTTTTTTTTTTGTTTTTTTGGTTCTTTTTTGGTTTTTTTGGAGTTTTTTTTGTTTGTTTGTTTTTGGTGGGTTTTTTTTTTCTTCCCCAAGCATCCATTTTGTCTCGGGGTGACAGCACT